TAGTTTGTTTTCCTTAACACCCGTTGGGGAATCCAGGCTTAACACTGACAACTTTACATTAGTATTCCCTAGCCAACTGTTACTGGAGACATTCTGATTCTCTTTCTTTTCTCCAATTATTCAGTGGATCTTCTGAGGTGAACTCTGACCAGAATTATACACAGTGTGGCTGCTGTCACTCAAAAGAATTGAATAAAAGCATTCCAAAATTATTTTACATTACTTTATTTACACTCCCAATAGTGAAATGTGCCTTTCACTGCAGTGCAGCATATTGAAGTTGCTATTTTTTCTCTAGTTATCTATACTATCCATTTCCTGGTCAATTACGACATGTCTTGTAAGGATTCATCGTAACTTGTCCAAACATGAAACAAACTTGAATTGTCAGACAGCTCTTGGTACAAATCAAAACTGCTGACAAATGAACTACACAGACGCACCAATTTAGACTATATTGTAGCCCTGTTTTGGTTATGACGGTGCTTACCAGAACCTTATTTTTATGCAAACAAAATTATTTCCTGGACACCTAAGGGATATGCCTCTATTGAATAGTTTTGATTTGTATTGCAATAAATACATTCAATGCCCTTAGCATAGCAGATGTCCATTATATCTTGTTCTATCTTGCAAGGTTTTATATATTTCTGCATCAGAGTGGCAAATGAATTAACACCTAAAACCTAAGCTTTCTCATAACATTTTATATTTAACTTTTTTTTAAAGTGCATTAATTTTTCTGTGGAATATAGTCATGTGAAAAAGAAAACAAAAATCTTTTTCACATAACTGTAGCTTTCCATTTACATAACATTCATTTAAAAGTTTTCCAAGCCCAGCAAATATCTCCTAGATCCCCTCTTACCCCTTCTTCGAGTGGTTCAATGTAGATTTCATCTCCAATCCGGGAGAGAGCATGTACTGCTTTCCCCAGGGCTGCACAAGGATAGAAGAACACAAAGAAGGGGATAAAGTGAAGTCTCATACAGTGTGAATGCTGTTTTTTTAACACTAGCTAGGAATCTGTGTAGGGGGAAATGACCCATCATAACTCCCTCCTGCTGCTAATTAATTATTGGGGTTTACATGAAATGTCTTTATTTTACAGTTCTCTGTGAGGAAGGAGGAAGGGTGCACGTAATAACAACAGTGGAAAAGGCTAAAGCCAAAAATGATAATCCTTTCTCTCTTTAATCCTGTACTTGTTCTTAGTCTCTCTATCCTGTAAAGATTGTTATTTTATGAATGAAAAAGCTCTTTTAGAAGTGTCTTCTCTCTACCAATACTCCCGTTTTTAGAAGGACCTGATCAGAAATTAATACTCTCACACAAAACTTAAGGGACTCACAAAATTGGACTCAAAGTGGCAGCTGATACCTTGTGTGCCAATTGTCTCCTTATGTGAACCAGGAGGCCCTCTTTTATGTACACAGAGAGTATTTCACCAAGACAAATTCCTTGTGTGTCCAATCACACTTGGCCAATAAAGAATTCTATTCTATTCTATTCTATTCTATTCTATTCTATTCTATTCCTATTTCTATTTCTATTCTATTCTTTTGAGACAGTCACTCACACTTTGGTCATCTTGTGTGTGGATCACTGCAATCTACTCTACATCAGGATAACCTTGAAAGCTATTCAGAAGTTGCAGCAAAATGTGGCATTATAGTTGTATCTCATCAAACTCATGTAACACTTTTGATCTATGAGCTACACTGTTACCAGAAGACTTACGGTTGCAATTCAAAATGCTGGCTATTCTCTACAAATACTTCATTAGTTATCCAAAGAACTATCTGTCCTCTGTGGTTTCTGTCCAGCCCAGATGATCATGCTCCTTATCCCATCCATTAAGCAGTGTCATCCGATAGGCTCTTGAAACCATACTTTTTTTTTTTTGGTCATAGAGCTTTGCAACACTAACCCACATGAGACATGCATGGTGCCTAACCTGGTCATGTTCAAATCAGCTCTGAAAATCTATTTTTCCCCTAAGTCTTGGGTTAGAGTAGGTGATGACTCTTACATTTTTAATGATTGCTTTTCTTATGGCATTTGGGTTTTGGTTTGTTTTAATGGCACGGTATTATCATTTGTACCATATGTTGCCCAGAGTTGTTGTAGAGTTATAATTTTTTAAAATAAATAAATAAATAAAATTGTTGTACATAGCTCACCTTTCACATTGCCCCCTGTAACTATGCACTTCATGCCAAAGGAGAGATGTCAGAGAGAACACTAGTAGAACTGCGAAGAAACAAAATATGTGCGTGATTACTCTTCATCTAATACCTAATATTTCACAAAGAAGATACTAGAAAATAAGAGAAAATTATACACAGACACAAATCATCATAAATTCAAATTTTGGCAATAAACCCACATACTGTCTATTTAAATTAATAATCTTTATTTATACTTTTTAGGCATTTGAAGGGCATTAGGTTTCTACTTTGCATGTTTGTTCCCCAAAGTCAACTGCTAAATTAACATGTAAATTAAAAAAAATACATTTATACAAAATAATCACAGAACCACTAACAGAGTATAGAAAAGATTCTCAGCCTAATTCATAGAAGAGTTTCCATGTGAATTGGATATGGCAATGCAAAGAGATGTGACAAAGTGCCAAGACTTTGATGGAAATAATCAAAGTATGTGGAAGTATAGTCCCATGGAACCATCACACAGAACTAGTTTTCTATGAGGGCCTGCCCCTCACCTCCAAAACTGTCCCGGAGATCAATCCTAGCCTGCCTAGAAGTTGGTGTCTTGAACTGGATTTTGAATAGTTGCATGAAATGTACGGAAGTGGAGTATTTGACTTTCATTGCTCAGAAAGTGAACAATAGAAGTTTCAATATTGCATTTTTTCACAATCCGAAGGTATCATAAGGTCCTTTTTACACCACACAATGTAACACATATAATACTTCATAGCATTTGAATGCAAAACAAATTATGGTTTCAGGAAAGGCTGTGCAGTGGTTTTACTTTTGGAAGAAACTATTCAGCATCACTGATTTACATTTTAAAAAACTATTTTATATCATGTGTTCAGCTAAATGGAAAATTGTCAAATGTGTTTTTTAGAAGAATATGAATTTAATTTCAAATTCCATTATGTGCTTATTGCTATATACAGGTAGTCCTCGACTAATGAACACAATTGAGCCCAAAATTTATGTTGCTAAATGAGAAATTTGTTAAGTGGGTTTTGCTCCATTTTACGACTTTTCTTGCCACATTTGTTAAGTGAATCATTGCAGTTGTTAAATTAGTAATAAGATAGTTAAGTGTATCTGGCTTCTGAATTGACTTTGTCAGAAGGTCACAAAAGGGGATAACATAACTCCAGGACACTGCAACCGTCATAAATATGAGTCAGTTCCCAAGCATCCGAATTTTGATCACATGTCCATGGGGATGCTGCAACGGTCATAAGTTTGAAAAACAGTCATGCCCCTTTTTTCAGTGCCAATGTAACTTTGAATGATCAACTAAATGAACTGAAGTAAGCTGAGGACTACCAATAAACGCCAGAAGCCTGAATAGCTGAAAAGCACCAGCCTTGCTTCTTCTTCATCATCTTTTTTAAAATAGTCATTTCATGAGATCCTATGCCTTAACAAGGTATGGAAAAATTGGTTTAGCATTCCAGATACATAGATAGATGGATGTAGATGGTTTGGCATTTCATATACATAGGCAATTGCTAGAATAATAGGATTTGTTTTATTAGAGTGATTTGGTTGTGATGCTGACCCAGTCCAAACTAGACAAGGACAGCTGTTCCCTTAGGAAAAAGGAGCTCTTGGGGACAAATTCAACCAATATTCTAAGCAACATCCACGATGCACTTCTGCTTATTTATGCAAAAGTAGACTCGACATATTACTTTAAACAAACATTGCAGCTCCAACAGGTCTGACAAGTTGAAGTTGTCACCCAACTTACTTAAAGGAAGGGAGTACTGTGCAAGGTCAGGCTAGATTGTCTGTCTATCTAATCAAAGATACCTTGGTATGAAAGGCATCAGTCCACCGTCGTCTGAATGCTAAATTTCCCACCTCGACACGAGTTTCGCTCTGCTCTTTGGACACAAGGCTTCACCACCCCATCCCAAAACTAAAGACTGCTGAATGGCCACCCCTGGCATGAGAAAGAAGCTGCTGCTCCGCAATCCTGTAAAAAAAAGGGGGGGGAGACGACTCCACAAAAAGAGAACACCGTCCCGAACCTCTTGCTGTTATAACACACTAATTCCTCCTTTTGCCGCCTCCCTCCAACAGCAACACAAAAAACCCCAATCTCCTCTCCACCCACCCTGCATTCTCATTGGACAATACGACTGCCAGGTCGCGCCGGGCAAGCACGTGGGAGATGGGTTAAATCTCATTTGTGGAGTTTCCTCCACGTGATCCTCGCGGAGCTTGGACCGGACGGTAGACTGCAGCTCCTCCTCGTTTCGAAGGGAGGGGAAGGGAAGTGGGAGCTCTTCTGATTCTCGTTAATCCTTTGATTATGGCTGCGGTCCGAGGGAAGGGGAGGGCCTACGCCTGCGCTGAATGAACTGAAGTGGGAGGTTACTTTGCAATGGGAAATCTTGCCTTTATTTTTAGCTATTGAAGAGGAAGGGCCGTTTATTATCCTTAAACTCGCTTTCTTGGAGTAAACCTTATTGAAGTAACCTCTCTCTCTCTCTCTCTCTCTCTCTCTGTGTGTGTGTGTATAGGTATATGTATATGTATGTATTTGTTTTCTTAAGTTTTCACGGGTACTTACATGTATGGTATTCAGCTTTGTTCGGGTATTTTCCCACGTCATTATAGTTGTGCTTTTAAAGTTGTAGCAACGTTTCGGCAGAATCTCATCTGCCATCATCAGGCTTCTGGTTGTGTTCATCTGTCTGATCAAAACTGAAACAACTGTAAAAGTCTGACTCACAGACTAACACAACCAGAAGCCTGATGATGGCAGATGAGATTCTGCCAAAACGTTGCTACAACTTTAAAAGCACAACTATAATGACGTGGGAAAATACCCGAACAAAGCTGAATACCATACATGTAAGTACCTGCGAAAACTTCACACACACACACACACATACATATCTCACATATATATAATGTATATATATTTTTATATATGTATTATTATATTATATATTATATTTATTATATGTATGCATATGTGTGTATGTCCGGTACTAGATATGTGCACTAAAGATATTTGTTTTATTTTAAAGAATGTTTTTCATTATGTAACTTACAGTGAGCTGTGAAAAATGGAGAGGAAAAAAATCAACATTACATTTACATTATATTTAAGCCATCTCAAGTGCAAGACATTGGGTTTTATTCCAGATGATCTCCTTATTTACCTCCCACGACCCCACTTATTGTTAAAAAATAAATAGGACCCCGAAATCGCACTACAACATCCATTAAAAACTCATGGATTTCCTTTTGAAATTAAATCTTGCTAATTCAAATCAAGGTGTTAAAAAATATAACATATTGGCAGCAGACTGTAGTTTACTTTATTGTCATTGCACCTCGTACAACGAAATCAAACACCATCTTCAGTGCACATCATGACTATGAAAATAAACACAAACACACATTCTTCACACTCCACACATTGAACTGAAAAACCACAACACCACACTAACACAGCAGTATACAGCAGAATTCAAAAGAGCTACTGCCCTTGGATAGAAGCTGTTTTTCAGCTTATTTGTGTTTGTTTTTAATATTCTGTACCGTCTGCCAGATGGTTATAGTTCAAAAAAAGGGTGCCCAGAATGAGATGGATCTTTGAGATATTTTGAATTTCCTAACGGCAGTGGGAGCTATAAAGCTCTTCCAAAGAGGGGAGAGGGCAACCAATGATCTTCTGTTAACCCTCTGGAGTGCTGTCCTATTTGCCACTCTGCATTTGGAAACCATACAGAGGTGCAGTAAGTTAAGATAGTCTATGGTGCAGCAGTAGGAGGTCACCAGCAGTTTTTCATTCAGTTGTTTTCTGAGAAGTCTCAGGTAGTATAATCTCTGCTGGGCCCTTTTGACCAGTGCTGCAATGTGAGCACCCCAGGTCAGGTCCTCTTTTATGGTAACACCCAGAAACTTAAAACTGGCCATTTGCTCCACTCGGTCTCCATTGATAAGCAAGGGGTGTAAGCAAATACCTGGGGCTAAAGCTAGGTTCGAAATTGCAAAATATAGTTGAAAAGTAATTATGACTTCATTGCATCATACACGGTTTAAATCAATTATAATATGCACATCAGGAAAAAAAGTACTGTAGCTTTTAATAATATACTTAAGAGATTTACTACATAGTTTCCAAAATCAGAAATAGATTTGAGACTAGTTACTTAAATAGAAGCATTCATTATTATCAAGTAATAATCAGTCCTTTCCACAATCCAGGCAAGTCAAATTTCTTGGTTTTAAACTGACTGCAAACAAGTTGTATCATGAGATAAATTCAAATGTTTTAACTGTATTATTAATCCAACTGGTAAATTAAATTATCCATGTCCAGGGAATTCTGTAATTATTTCAGGATATGAGACTGCATCATAAATATTTTCTTAACTTGGAGGATTTTTTAAAAAAATAAACGTATTTTACTTACTGAAATAAACTGGATATCCTGCTGGAAATGCCTAAATAAAAGCTAAATAAAGGCCCAAACAGACATTAAACCCTCAGTATCTCTCTACTTATTCAATAGAAATGTCTTCTTCTAAAATTGCTATTTTAGACCAAGCATGGAAATGGGGAGAATGAGTTGTATTAGGCACACTTACAGCTTACTGATGGCTGATATGCATAAGATGCATATCATTCTGGGGTTATTTTTAGTCCATATATTCTTAAAGATATATTACTGTAGAAAAATATATTTTACAGACTTCAGCAGGTTCCAATTATTATACTCTGGTTTATTCTATAGAAAGCTATGATTCTGAATCTTTTTTTAGGGGATCTGCCAGGCAGATCCTAACAATAAACTTCCTGCCTTTGCTTTCTTTTCATATTTAAATGCATTTTGATTTTTAAAACATTTTTGCACATTTTTGTAGTTTTTATTCAAGGCATTTGGAATGTTTGTGGAAGAATGTTATAAATAAACCATTACAGAAGACTGAAATACATATTTTTGGGAGAAAATCAGATTCTGCCACTTTTCATCTTGCAAGCTTTTTTTGTGGAAAGATATTTTGTTGATGTTTTTCCTGACCTGTAGAGGGCGTTCTGCAACCATTGCTTTGAAAATAGGAGCTTCCTGTGAATGCAGGATGTACTTAAGATGGGAGAGAGGGCAAGAAAGATGTAAGTTGAGTTGAGAGATAGATATAAGAGGTCTGCTGGGAAATAAATATGTTCTATCTATATCCTATATTCAATTTAATTAAATGGATGCATGTAATTATAGGCAGAGGTGACAATGGAAATTTTCCCAGGAGCATGGGGCGTGCATAAGCGCACCAACGTGCCTACCGTCCCTGTCCTATTGTTTCTCTTATTCTTTTATTTTTCTTATATGTACCCATTTCATGTATTCACAACTATGTATACACTTATACTTATTATCTTGTAAACAATTGGCAAATCAAATAAATAAAAATAAATAAATTTTCACAAGCATTTTCACATATTTGTCCATTACTGATTGAATTATCTTATTTCAAAAGTTAAAGAATAAATGGAGAATGGATGAATCAGATTAGGGGTGGTTTTAGTCTATCATAAGCCAGAAATGATAATGTGCTGCTAGTCCAAGGCAGAAATACACATATAGCCAACTATTTAGGAATTTTATCCACATAGTCATTAAACATAGTAAAATGTACTGTATTGTAACCACACACATATATATTCATCAGGCTACTCCTGTTTAGGGTAAACAATATGCAAAATGCTGAAAAAGCATTAGAAACAACCAAAGAAAGGAAAGAAAATATAAGTAAATCTAGTGTACATCAACATCATTCTGTTTCTGTTTTGCAAATTATTGTTTCTATCCCCTTACAACAGTACTTCATCTTCTGCCTTTTCTTTAAATCTCTCTGAGAATCTCTTCAACATTATCCAACAATGAGTTTCCCATTATCCTTTTCTTTTTGATCCATCCACTCTTCCTTGTTTTGTGATTTTCCCCCTTCTATTTGATTAAACCACCATAATGTACTTCTTCTGCAATGGTCCCTAATTCTTTTATTCAGTCTACATTCTTACAGCAGCCATTCATTCTTGACCCTATCTCATCTTGTTTTGCCATGTAAATTTGTGTGTAGAGTATTCAATTTACTGTTTCTCCTGACATACCTAACTCTCACTTCCATAAAAAGTGGACATAAGGTATGCTCTTATCATAACCATTTTGCTGCTTTTAATACATATTCATTCCTTGCAAGAGACCATAAATTACTACCTACCATTTTTCTTCCAGGATTTGCATATCTTAAAAGTTTCTCAGTTTCACCAGCTTTTTAAAGCATTGTAGCAAAATACATAAATGCATCTAATTGTTCTAGTTTTCACTATTTACAATTTTTCTTCATTTTTCCTCTTAAACTCACCTACTTTAATGTTTTATACATTAATTTTCAGATTCATATTTTCAATTAGATCACACAATGTATATCATTGTTTTCAGCCAACAATCTGGCATTATCTGCCTAGAAAATATGCACATTCACATTTCTGCTTAGGACATTATTAATGTTACCACAATTATTCCTTATATATTTGACTTTGACTTTAGGTCAGTCACTCACTCTCAGCCTAACTCACCTCACAGAATTGCAGTTGTGGAGAAAATAGGAGGGAGGTATGGATATGTCTGCTACCTTGAGTTATTTGTAAAAATAATAAAAGTGGGAAACAAACAAATACAGGAGAAGAGAAGAAATTTCCTACCTTGAGTTACTTATGAAGAAATAAAATTGGAATTAAAAATATCAAATAAGTAAGTAAATAAATAATTTTCCTTCAGGTTGATTTTCCCCAATTTCAATTGTAATGGTTAACATTTGTGAATATGATAACTGGAGCCACAAAATAGCTATGTGGTTTCTCATCTACTCACCCCGTCTTCTCTCAACTCGACAGTTTTCCCTATGTTCAATAGTAGTATTAAAACATTGGGACACTTTGATATTTCAAGTAATGGCTTGAAATATGACCACAGAAAGATTTCGTTTTGGTTTCAGGCAAAAGCTTTGCTTTTGTCGACCTCAGGGGAAAAAAATCTGTCCACATTTGGGAAGATTGGAAGCCTCCGAAACATTACAGGGT